AGCTTAAGAGCTTGGAGAAGGACCAAAAAAGGGAGCACAACCCGAACAGGAGAAAGGAAATAATAAAACTCAGAGCAGAGATTAACGAGATGGAAACCCAAAAAACAATCCGAAAGATCAATGAAACCAAGAGCTGGTTCTTCGAGAAAATTAACAAGATCGATAAGCCTCTAGCAAAACTCACAAAGAAAGGGAGAGAGAAAACCCTAATAAATCGAATCAGAAATGAAAAGGGGGTCATTACAACAGAAACCACAGAAATTCAGAGGATCCTCAGGGAGTACTTTGAGAAGCTTTATGCCACGGAACATCAAAACCTCGAGGAAATGGATAAATTCCTAGACTCCTACAGACTCCCAAGGCTGAACCAAGAAGACCTGGAATACCTGAACAGACCTATCACCATCAAGGAAATTGAACTGGTAATAAAAAGTCTCCCCAAGCACAAAAGTCCTGGCCCGGATGGATTCACTAGTGAATTCTTCCAAATCTTTAAAGAGGACTTACTCCCAATGCTCTTTAAGCTTTTCCACGAAATTGAAATATCAAAAACACTTCCAAACAGTTTCTACGAAGCAAATATCACACTGATACCAAAAGCAGACAGAGATACCACAAAGAAAGAGAATTACAGGCCGATATCCCTGATGAACACAGATGCAAAGATCCTCAACAAACTACTAGCAAATAGAATCCAACTACTCATTACAAAGATCATACACCATGACCAAGTAGGATTCATCCCAGGGATGCAAGGATGGTTTAACATTCGGAAATCAATCAACATAATCCACCATATCAACAAAAGAAAAGATAAAAAGCATATGATCATATCAATAGATGCAGAGAAAGCATTTGATAAGATCCAGCACCCCTTTATGATGAAAACCCTAGCCAAAATGGGTATAGAGGGGACCTTCCTCAACATAATTAAAGCCATCTACCACAAGCCTACAGCAAGCATCATCCTCAATGGGGAAAAACTGAGAGCCTTCCCTCTAAGATCAGGGACGAGACAGGGATGCCCACTCTCTCCACTGCTGTTCAATATAGTACTGGAAGTACTTGCAATAGCGATTAGGCAGGAAAAAGATATTAAGGGCATTCAGGTAGGAAAGGAAGAAATCAAGCTCTCACTATTCGCAGATGATATGATACTCTACTTAGAGAACCCAATAACTTCCACCAAAAAACTCCTAGAAACAATAGACTCGTATAGTAAAGTTGCAGGTTATAAAATCAATACCCAAAAGTCCATGGCTTTCCTATACGCAAACAGTGAGAGAGAAGAAAGCAACATGAAAAAAACAATCCCATTCACAATTGTGCCCCAGAAAATCAAGTACCTAGGAATCAGCTTAACTAAGGAAGTAAAGGACCTGTACAAAGAAAACTACAAAACGCTACTTCAGGAAATAAAAGAGGACATGAGGAAATGGAAAGATATCCCCTGCTCATGGGTCGGGAGATTTAACATTGTCAAAATGGCAATACTACCGAAAGCATTGTATAAATTCAATGCAATCCCTATAAGGATACCCATGACATTCTTCAAAGAAATGGAGCAAACACTCTTGAAATTTATATGGAACAATAAGCCCCCACGAATAGCTAAAGCAATTCTTGGGAAAAAGAAAATGGGAGGAATCAACCTCCCGAACTTCAAACTGTACTACACAGCGGTAATAATTAAAACAGCATGGTACTGGAACAAAGGCAGAACTGCAGACCAATGGAACAGGGTTGAATACACTGACATCTCTCCTCAATCATATGCTCATCTAATCTTTGATAAAGGTGCAAGTAATGTGAAGTGGAGTAAGGAAAGCCTCTTCAATAAATTGTGTTGGCATCACTGGACGGCTACATGCAAAAAATAGGCTCAGAACTCTGCCTAACACCATGTACAAAAGTAAGATCAAAATGGATTAAAGACCTCAACATCAGACCAGAAACCATAAGGTACATTGAAGACAAAGTTGGCAAAACCCTCCATGACATTGAAGCTAATGGTATCTTCAAAGATGCCACGCCACTGGCCGAGCAAGTGAAAACAGAGATAGATAAATGGGACTATCTTAAACTAAGAAGCTTCTGCACCTCCAAAGAAACAGTGACCAAAATACAAAGACAGTCTACAGAATGGGAAAGGATATTCACCGAATACACATCTGACAAGGGGTTGATATCCAGGATATACAAAATACTGGTTAAACTCCACAAGAAGAAAACATCCAACCCCATCCAAAAATGGGGCAATGAAATGAACAGAAACTTTCTCAAAGAAGAAATCCGAATGGCAAAAAAGCACATGAAAAAATGCTCTACATCATTAATCATCAGGGAGATGCAGATCAAAACCACAATGAGATACCATCTCACACCTCAGAGACTGGCCCACATTCAAAAGAACAAAAGCAACCGATGCTGGCGTGGATGTGGCGAGAAAGGGACACTCCTTCACTGTTGGTGGGAATGTCCACTGGTTCAGCCCTTCTGGAAAACAGTATGGACGATTCTCAAAAAATTAGAAATTGAGCTCCCATTTGACCCAGCAATACCACTCCTGGGAATATATCCCAGAGAGGCAAAAATGTATAGTCGAAGTGACATCTGCACTTGTTTGTTCATTGCAGCACTCTTTACAATAGCCAGAAACTGGAAGAAACCTGAATGCCCAAGAACAGATGACTGGTTAAAGAAACTTTGGTACATCTACACAATGGAGTACTATGTAGCTGTTAGAAAAGATGAAGTCATGAAATTTACATACAAGTGGTACAATATGGAAAGTATCATGCTAAGCGAAATGAGTCAGAAAGAGAGGGATAGACATAGAAAGATTGCATTCATCTGGGGGATATAAAGTAACAAAGTATGAGATTAATACCCAAGAATAGCTGAGATCAGCACCAGGAGGATTACTCCATAACTTAGAGGCCAGCCAGGTATCCTAGAGGAAAGGGCAGTTCAGATAGAGAAGGGAGCACCAAATAAAGGATGTTTGGAGGATCCTCCCAGGAGGGGAGATGCATGTCGAAAGTAGACTATGGACTGAACATGTTTGCCACTCAATGCCTCTTTTGCAGACCACAACACCCAAAAGGAGAGAGAGAACACAGGGGAGTGCCCTGCCACAGAGACAGGGGGGATGGGGGGATGGGGGTGGGAGGGTTATTATCCATGGTGGTGGAAAATGGGCACTGGTGGAGGGATGGGTATCTGATCATTGTATAATTGAAACCAAAGCACAAAAAATTGTAAATCTACAACTTTAAAAAAAATAAAATAAAATAAAGGGGAAAAAAAAAGAAGACAATGTTTATGAGAAACAGTCTAGTTCCTGATGCTCCATTCGCTCTCAAGGGAACGACCATCTTCGAATGCAACAGTTATGTGTACCTAGGTCAAGAAGTCAACATGACAAATGACCTGGCACCCGAGCTGCACAGGAGGAAGAGAGCGGCTTGGAACGCCTTCAAGAGCATGGAAGAAATAGCTAAGAGGACAAAGAACCTCCGGCTCTGGGTACATCTCTTTGATTCCACTGTTCTTCCTGCATTAACATATGCCTCAGAGACCTGGGCCCTAAGCAAACAGGATGAGAATGCTATTCAGGTCTCCCAAAGAGGAATGAATTAAAAGAGCTATGCTTAAAGTATCAGGTTTCACTCAAATGAGAGAAAGAATTCAGAGTTCTGACCTCCATCAACAGTCAAGAGTCAGGGACTCTGGGGGTCAAAAATCAGATGGACTGGACACATAATGAGATTTGGAGACAACCACTGGACTAGAACCATTACAGACTGGATTCCACGGGATGTCAAAAGACCACGTGGCCACCCACCTACCATATAGTCAGACTTCTTCATCAAGATCATGAACGATCAGTTTGAGGCTCTTCCTGTTCCTAGAAGGAACAGACGCCATTGGGCTACACTAGCACGCGACAGAGACAAATGGAGACGTTACTGGCGCCTGCTCGAGCAAATCTACGATTAAGGGGAACTCAAGTGATCAAGTGATCAAGCACAGTTTTATTTTCTTGTCTGTAAAACATATTTACCTCCCTGTACACAACTCACTCCTTTTAAAGAAAAAAATTGAAATGTAAGGCTGTATAAGATTTGTTTTTAAACTCTATAATGTCTTTTTTTGTATAGTTAACACACTACCGAATGTGTCTTTAGATAGCCCTGTCCCAGTGGAAATTTCAATAGCCACTAACCTTGCCTGGTACAGTATGTGGGTTGTAAATTGGCATGGAAATTTAAAGCAGGTTCTTGTTGTGCACAGCACAAATTAGTTATATATGGGTATGGTAGGTTTTTTCATCTTCAGTTGTCTCTGTTACAGCTTATACGAAACCACTCTGTAATTGCAAAAGAAAAAGAAAAAAGTTGCAGCTGTTTTGTTGACATTCTGAATGCTTCTAAGTAAAAACAAGTTTTTTTTTATTAAAAAAAATCCCTCAGTCAAAGGAGATCTCAGTCCCCTCTGACCACCCCCCCTGCCCCCCCCCCCAATAAATACTGCAGGATTGTGTGGGTTTGTTCCCTGGTGAGACACAGTCTCACCTTCTGGCCACATCCAACATGACATCATGGCAGGGGAGGATGCACCCTGTGAGACGCCCTCAGTGTGAGTCTATGAAGGTGCTCACAATTGGGGTGGAAATATGTATAATTAGTAAAAATTATCTATTATCAAATGGTTTTTAGGCTTTCTAGAGAGACCAGGCCAGCACATATGAACTCTGAATGATACTGTCACCTACTTTCTTCAGAAAAATAATCTCTATAAATTCAATCAGCAGATCTGTTGTCATGTCTGTGTTGCAGGGATGACAAGGAGAATAATGGAGCCTAAAAATGTTCCTTTGACATATATCATAACTGTTCATCATTGCACAGTCTGGTGCATCTGACACACCCTCAGCTGGGGAAGCATTTGAGGTGCAGCTGGGGCAGCCCAGCCTCACACAGCTGATCTCTGGGGGTTTATGTTCTCGCGTGTATCACTGTGGGAGGGTAACTATTATGCTGTTGACAGTAATAAATGGCAGCATCCTCAGGCTTAAGGTTGCTGATGGTGAGAGTGAAATCTGTCCCAGATCCACTGCCACTAAACCGGGGAGGGATGCCTGCTTCTAAGTTGGTTGCTCTATAGATGAGACACCTGGGAGCTTTCCCTGGTTTCTGCTGATACCAGGCTAAATAATTGCTAATGCTTTGACTGGCCTTGCAGGTGATGGTGACTTTGTCTCCCAGAGATGCATACGCGGATGAAGGCTGGTTCATCTGAATATCACACCTGGAACCTGGGGAATAAAAAATAAACAAGCATAATCAGCACCATTCATTGTACTTTAAATTATTTCCCCTGAAACACGGGTAGCACTATCCAGTAAACCCTCATTTCCCTCCTTACTAGGGAGCCAGAGCAGCAGGAAGCTGAGGAGCTGCACAGGGGCCCTCATGTCCACTCTGGGTGTGACAGACACTGACCCTGCAGGGTAACACAGACTATTATTGAGTGTCCAGGCTGATCTCTGAGGACTTGCAAATGAGAGGGGGCTGGGCGGCTGGGCAGGCGGGGGGGGGGGGGGGGGGGGGGGGGGGGAGGGGGGCGGAGGGCAGCCCAGCTGCAGGGAAGTCAAGGGTGTGGGTCCCTGTGGGGAAACAGAACTTTGCCCACAGAGAATATGCCCCTCCCCGGGCCCCAGGAGGGCCTCAGTGTGAGCACAGAAGGGCTGGTCCTCTGATCTCCTGAGAGTCAGGACTCAACTTCCTGCTCTCTCTGCCCAGGGACAGGCTGTCAGACACAGCCACACAGACCCTCTCAGGAATTGTAAACCTCTTCAATTTCACATTTTTGGATCAAATTGAGGACATGGAATTTTCCATTTAGCTTTGATGTCTTGGTATTACTGGTTTTAGAGATGTCATGACTACCAAACGGAAACGTTGTGTGGTAACAGCAGAAAACCTGTGGCCATGATAACAAGCCTTGCCAAAATGCATTCCTGAAAGTCTCACCACTTCCAACTCAGCCTCAGATTATGGGGCTTGTTCTCCATGTTTAATAAAGCTCTCTACCTTCCCCGACATTTACTCTTTTCTCTTTGGGCATTCTTCTATGTTTTTCAGTCAATCTTTGCCTGAAAGATTCCATTCTAAGCTGACCAGATTGAAATGAGTCCAGAAGGGATAGATGAGATGAGTCACCTCTACCAAAATCCCCTTGAATGCACTGTGCTCCTTCAGCTCACATCCTATATCACACATCTCTTTTTCTTTTTCTTTTTTTTTTTTTTGGTTTTGTTTTTCAACCGCTCCTAGCTGTTCCCAGGGCTTATTCCTGGCACTATACTCTGGATTCACTCCTGACAAGGTTCTGTGGTGGAGGTGTGGGGTACCATATGGGATGTCAAGGATTGAAACTGGGTTTTCCACATGCAAGGCAAACACCCTACCCACTGTACTATCTTTCCACAGATCTCTTCTAATTTTGGACAGCTCTCAGCCAGCCCAGGTGCAGGGCATTGAGACTCAAGTAAGGTTAGCATATAACCCCACAAAGAAATGACTTGCAGTTCTTAGAGGTGGGCATCAAATTGGGCAATAGGGAGTACCCAACCTGGGATCAGGCTCTGACAGTGGCTGATACCCCAATGAGTTGGTGAGGGTAGAGTACGGGTGAGATGAGTCAGTATAGTCTATAGTGATGTTTCCTCCACCACCACCTCCCCACCCCATTCAATCACTGTTTATTCTTTCAGTAGAATGCCCTGGGAGTGCACACCAGCAAAATATTGAAAGGCCCATGGACCCTCCACATCAACGAATTCAAGATTCATGATATCTGAAGATACTCCTCCATGAACTATTGACCGAGCCAGTAGCTTTCTATTTCTGAGAATTTAAGAGTCCTGAGCTGGGTTAGAGATCCATGGAAGGTACCACAGAAGGTCCCAGGGGAACCTTATGGTGATTATGGATTCTAGTCGAGATGGGTTTACTCCCAGTTATCAGCCTGTGACTGGGGCCTCCCCCAGTGCTTCTGTCAGACAGGGGCAGCACAGGGAGCCTCAAGGTCTGCAGGGCCCTTGACAGGACCCTCCAGAGCCATTTGAGGCCTCACACCTGACTCAGGCAGGGGATATCTCCCCCTGTCCCAGCACACACAAACCCCAATCCACCAGTGATTTTTTTAAAAAAAATAATGTTGGAGTACTGCTATTTGTTCAGCCATTGATTATGCTGATTGAATTGGACATGACTCCCCATTGCTTTTTTTTATTTTATTGTATCACTGTGAGATAAAGTTATGAAGCTTTTATGCTTGAGATTCAGCCATATAATGATGATCACCCATCCCTCCACCAGTGCACATTTTCCACCACCAATGTCCCAAGTATCAACACCCCCCCCACACACACACACACATACACATCGCAGTCCTCACCCTGTCTCTATGGAAGAAAAGTTCCCCAATACTCTCTCTCTAATTTTGAGCATTAATTTTGTTCGAATTTTCCCACCACCATTCAAGCCTATCTGCCAGGGGCAAGACTCTAGATAATATATTTTCCATAACTCATTTTGTTTTTTTGGTTTTTTTTTTTATCATTTTTTTTATTAGTGAAACACCATGAAGTACATTTCTAGACTTATAAATTTTTGTGCTTGGGTTTCAGTTATACAATGATCAAGTACCCATCCCTCCACCAGTGCCCATCCTCCCCCACCACGGGTCCTAGCATCCCTCCCAACCCCCCCCCATCCCACCCTGCCGCTGTGGCAGGGCATTCCCCCTTGTTCTCTCTCTCTCTTCTTTGGGTACTGTGTTTTGCCAGAGAGGCATTGAGTGGCAATCATGTTTGGTCTATAGTCTACTTTTAGCATGTCTCTCCCACCCTGGGAGGGTCTTCACAACACCCTTTATTTGGTGCTCTCTTCTCTATCTGAGCTTCCTTTTCACCTAGCACATATGGCTGGCCTTCAAGTCATGGAGCAAAATTCCTGGTACTAATCTGAGCCATTCCTGGGTGTTAGTCTCCTGTTTTGTTGCTTTATGTTCCCCAGATGAATGCAATCTTTCTGTGTCTATCCCGCTCTTTCTGACTCATTTCGCTTAACATGATACTTTCCATGTAGTACCACTTGTATGTAAATTTCATAACTTCATCTTTTCTAACAACTATATAGTACTCCATTGTGTAAATGTACCAAAGTTTCTTTAACCAGTCATCTGTTCTTGGGCACTCAGGTTTTTTCCAGATTCTGGCTATTGTAAAGAGTGCTGCAATGAACAAACAATTGCAGATGTCACTTCGACTATACCTTTTTGCCTCTCTGGGATATATTCCCAGGAGTGCTATAGCTGGGTCAAATGGGAGATCGAATTCTAATTTTTTGAGAATCGTCCATACTGTTTTCCAAAAGGGTTTGACCAGCCTGCATTCCCACCAGCAGTGAGGAGGGTCCCTTTCTCGCCACATCCGCGCCAGCACCTGTTGCTTTTGTTCTTGTGGATGTGGGCCAGTCTCTGTGGTGTGAAATGATATCTCATTGTTGTTTTGATCTGCATCTCTCTGATGATTAATGATGTAGAGCATTTTCTCATGTGCCTTTTTGCCATTCGGATTTCTTCTTTGCGAAAGTTTCTGTTCATTTCCTCGCCCCATTTTTTGATGGGGTTGGGTGATTTCTTCTTGTGTAGTTTAACCAGTACCTTGTATATTCTTGATATCAACCCCTTGTCAGATGTGTATTTGGTGAATATTCTTTCCCATTCTGTAGGCTGTCTTTGTATTTTGGTCACTGTTTCTTTTGAGGTGCAGAAGCTTCTTAGTTTAAGATAGTCCCATTTGTCTATCTCTGTTTTCACTTGCTCGGCCAGTGGCGTGACATCTTTGAAGATACCACTAACTTCAATATCGTGGAGAGTTTTGCCAACTTAATCTGGGCTGGAGTGATAGCACAGCGGGTAGGGCGTTCGCCTTACAAGCGGCCAACATGGCCGACCCGAGTTCGATTCCTCCGCCCCTCTCGGAGAGCCTGGCAAGCTACCAAGAGTATTGGATATGCCAGACACAGTAACAACAAAGTCTCCAATGGAGACGTTACTGGGCCTGCTCGAGCAAATCGACGATCAACGGGAGGGCCTTTACCTTGTCTTCAATAAACATTATGGATTCCGGTCTGATGTTGAGGTCATAAATCCATTTCGATCTTACTTTTGTGCATGGCGTTAGGCAGAGATCTGAGCCCACTTTTTTGCATGTAGCTGTCCAGTTTTGCCAGCACAATTTATTAAAGAGGCTTTCCCTGCTCCATTTCACTTTTCTTGCCCCCTTATCGAAGATTAGATGATTATATGTTTGGGAGGAGATGTCAGTATATTCAACTCTATTCCATTGGTCTGCAACTCTGCCTTTGTTCCAGTACCATGCTGTTTTGATTATTACTGCTTTGTAGTAGAGCTTGAAGTTAGGTAGGTTGATTCCTCCCATTTTCTTTTTCCCAAGAATTGCTTTAGCTATTCGTGGGGGCTTATTGTTCCATATAAATTTCAGGAGTGTTTGCTCCATTTCTTTGAAGAATGTCGTGGGTATCCTTATAGGGATTGCATTGAATTTGTACAGTGCCTTGGGAAGTATTGCCATTTTGACAATGTTGATTCTCCCCATCCATGAACAGGGGATATTTTTCCATTTCCTCATGTCCTCTTTTATTTCCCGAAGTAGCGTTTTGTAGTTTTCTTTGTACAGATCCTTTACTTCCTTAGTTAAGGCGATTCCTAGGTACTTGATTGTCTGGGGCACAATTGTGAATGGAATTGTTTTCTTCATGTCACTTTCTTCTCTTTCACTATTTGCATATAGGAAAGCCATGGATTTTTGGGTATTGATTTTATATCCTGCCACTTTACTATACAAGCCTATTGTTTCTAGGAGTTTCTTGGTAGAGGTTTAGGGTTCTCTAAGTATAGTATCATGTCATCTGCGAATAGTGAGAACTTAATTTCTTCTTTCCCTATCTGGACGCCCTTAATATCTTTTTCTTGCCTAATCGCTATTGCAAGTACTTCCAGTACTATATTGAACAGCATTGGAGAGAGTGGGCTTCCTTGTCTCGTCCCTGACCTTAGGGGGAAGGGTCTCAGTTTTTCCCCATTGAGGATGATGTTTGCTGTAGGTTTGTGGTAGATGGCTTTAACTATATTGAGGAAAGTCCCCTTTATCCCCATTTTGGCAAGGGTTTTAATCATGAATGGGTGCTGGATCTTGTCAAATGCTTTCTCTGCATCTATTGATATGATCATATGATTTTTATCTTTTCTTTTGTTGATATGATGGATTATGTTGATTGATTTCCGAATGTTGAACAATCCTTCCATCCCTGGGATGAATCCTACTTGGTCATGATGTATGATCTTTTTGATGAGTTGTTGAATTCTATTGGCTAGTATTTT